ACAAAAAGCCCCTCCGTTTCTTGATTAAGCCGCTATGGGAACGGGCGAAAGTGGTCATGCATTTTTAACTGTTCGCCCCGATTATGAATTTTAAGATAAGAACGGTAAAAGTAAACTACAACTGTCTCCAGCGCTTAAGAACGTTGTACAAAGGTCTGGCAGCGTCAGCATTATTTGTCAAGTTTTAATTATTAAAGAATCTCCAATATTCTGAATGATTATTTTTTAATATTTGATAGTGATTTAACACATTAATCATTGAAGAAGTAGCATATAAAGATACCACAATTTATGCAACTATGTCATATTTTACATTTGAAATTAAAAACTAAAACAAAAAAAAATACGTTTTTAACTACTCAAATCAAATTTGATAGCGTAATTCTTACTGCATGATGTTAATCATATCAAGTGTTAACTGTAATTCTCCATCAGGCTTATTTTTATTAATCATTTGTAAATATGGAAAAAATTGACAATTGACATATAAATCAAACATAATATTATAATTATTACCTATGATTCTGCAGACTACGTTACGAACATTCAAAAATACTTTTGAGAACGGCGTACCGGCAAACCTATGTTTGTGTGAAGAACGGACGCTTTCGAATTCAAGAATCGTGACAAGACAACATGGATTTAGCAAAAAAAATCTGTCAATTGTCAATGGTCACTAAAATCGTGTATTTATATCCAAGTAACTAGCACAACCGGGTATTTTCTACTAGCATAAGTAATGAATCAGCTCTTTTTAAGGATTATTTACTTATATTCCGGTCGAGTCAACCGTGAGCCACTCCGAACGTTTTGATTTTTGACTTACACTTTCATTGTGAAACTCGAATGACTGAATTGCGGTTCCATATACAAGATATTGCTCCAGTGATAGTACTGTATAATCGCAGGTACCAGTATTTATCTGGTCTTTGTCACCAACTATAAAACAATGTTGGAGTAAGATTAGGTGGTTGTACTCTTAGTTAGATGTAAGCCGGGGGCAGGCACCGAAACGGTCTACAGTTAACATGTTATGTTTTAATGGCTGAATCTCGTTCCATCTACCCGCCAGACGGAACCGGGCGGCGAGATGACCATCTAGCTGTTTTGCCAACCGTTACCGTGACGTATAGCACAATTTCATTATGTAGTTCATTAACAAAGCTTAGTCATATGCGTTGTGTTTAACACTAGTATTTTATTACGTGTTTAACTATTTCAGCAGGTAATGAATTTTTAATTTTCAACCTGCAAATATTTTTGTCAATTGTGTAAGTATTTTTACGATATATGGTATACAAGTAAATGTTAATAAGTGTAAATTTGAAATATTTGTACTATTTTATTATATTATAATTAAAAAGAACAATGTTTTCTGCTAACTTTAAAAAGGAAAAGATTTTTAGTAGCGTTTTTTTTATGTTACCCAGTCCTTGCCAATTCTGAACCATACTAGATTGTTTTTTTTTTTTTTGATTTAGTTTGGTTTCTATGATATGACTGATTTTATCAAATCAACGTTTTTGTGAAATAAAATTTTATTATGAATTATGTCAAATGTCACTGTTTCATCTTATGAACTTATAACTAAACTGTATCGGAACATGGAATGTGATTTTGTATAAAGAGAGGATTATAAATATTTCGTATAAACAGTCATAAGGTATTACACTAACAATGTAAATATAAAATATGTTTAGATGTTGAGTGAAATTTGATACACAGACGAATATATACTTAGAGGTGGTGGAAATGGATCAGTAGCTACAATGAGAGGCATTTGAGAGATTTTTGTAATATAGGAAAAAACAGAGCAATCACGACGCGATGCCGGTGAAAGATATACAACAAAAAAAAAAAGTTTCTACAAAAAATGTAGCAAGGAGTTCGCTACAGACTCTTTATCTTCAATCACGCGGACAAAGCCGCAGGGTATAGCCAGTCAGTGACGATGATTAGCATTCCAATGATTACAAAAGTGAATGGGATACACAGACACACACTTGGTATTAGGTATGACGTTTCTATTGAGCGTCGATCGTGAAGAAAGAGTGAAAACGGTCCCGATGCCATTTCGCTTGTGTTTTTCATATGGCAGCGTCTAACGACGCCATTATTCTGCAGTTCTCAGTCGTATGTAGAAATAGAAAACTGATAATTAACCGATCGGATGCAAAAACTACGGGCGCGCATCGCCCTGTTACAACTGCAATGATCGTGCTAAATTAAAATGTTGATTACTAACAGTGCATGTTAAATAATTGTATTTACTAATAATAAGCTAATTTGTAATCTATTATTTGTATTTACAAACATAATTAGTATATTCAATATTATAATATAATAATAGATATTCATATGTACTTGTGTATAATACCAAGGAGTTATTTTATTATATGTACTTGTGTATAAGACCAAGGACTTATTTTATTTTTATATATGAAGAGATGGTATGAATATTAGTATTACATGATTCTTTTTTATTTGTAACTGAAATAATTAGATGGATTAAATTACATATCTATATTTTAGTCGGGGATGCTCGACTCGAAGACGATTATTTTTAGAAACTGCGAATCGCCTCGATTATTAATTTACAACAAAATAACTTTTATTTATAATAAGTCTATTGAATATCTAAAACAATAATTAAGTTAATTTAGACATAAAAACAGTAAATATCTATCAGTAAAAACAATCGGTCAGATCAATTCAGAAATTATTTCTTTTTAAATTGCTTTGTTAGATACAAAGTTGGGTCGTGTAATCACATTGTTATTTTTTAATGACCATTAGTGTTATTTTAGTTACTATTTATATAAGGCAACAAAGAAGATAAATTAAATTCAAAATCCAATGATATTATTTATTCAAGTACCTGTTCTACTTTCTAAAGTGCATGGCAATATAAAAAATATATTTGAGTTCCCATGATAAAATACATAAACTAAATTTATTTTTTTCCTTCCCCAAGGAAAATTATTTACTATAATAACAGACGATGGGAGTCAACTCGATCATCGATAAATTCGATATTATACAATCGGTATTCGTTTCACTGCTGTGTGTGTATATATACATACACATACATATTAATATGACTCACGCAACTTTGAAGTGATACTGTTTGCGTGACTGTTGGCTCATTCAATACAACAGAACCTAACATGTTCGTTTATACAACTGCTTTCATAATTCATTTAAGACAACGTTATTGACTATCGGTATCATATTTTTAACCGACATCAAAAAGGAGGTAGTTCTCAATTGGATGGTATTCGATTTTGCGTGTACGTTATGCTATCTTCATCAATTGTGAATTTATTTTGATGATTTTTTTTCCCCATAAGGGTTTACCTTTTACATTAACTTCACTTCTATATCAGTCCAATGTTAATTTAGTCAAAATTAAATTTATTCTGACAAGATTACATTATTTACTATACATGTCCGTAATTTAACGGATATTAAAAATAAAGTATAAGATATGAAATCTATTTCATACGAAAATAATAGAAACTCCACGAATACAAGTCGCGGAGCCACTCTATTCTTGTCCATCATAGGATGTATTTTTCTTCTATATTCAAAGTGCAAAGTTCAAAGACCCCGCGGTACTACTGATTATATAAAATGAATGCAAGACTTAAATTACGTATTGTTGATCTCGGCAATCATAATCAGATCTCTAATGGAATGCAGTGAAAGAGTTACGTGGAATTCATGATCAAGATCACACTGGATGCATACCGATTGCACGGACTCGATTGAAAATCGACAAATTAGTGTCCGTGATTTCTAGAAATTAGTGATTGACTCGAATCACAAGTCCCAAGTGCTAATTAAGAGTCTGTCATGACTGTATCTGATGTTACATTCCGTAATAATTTTCTCCTGCGTTGCGGTGACCATGCTTTTATTAACAGGCTGTGGTTTGAGACATGCGACAATCTAGTGTGAGCCGAATTAATACAAATTGTGGTTCCGTACGGATATTGTTGAATTTTTTTACTAGATGTTTTCAATAAAAGTTTGATTTCTTTAGAAATAATCAATAAGATAATTTTTAGTTGTAATAAAAATTAACCTAATTAAATAAACAAATACGTGTACATACGTGTATGTAATTGTGAATATAAATATTGTAGATGTGTAGTAAAAAAAATACTTGAAAATATTTGAATGTATACTATTTACAGTGAGAATGTACCATGAGTTTTGCCTATCCATAAACATTCAACCTACTTTCTTGATTTTTTAACTATCATAATAAAAATTAATCCTTGAATGGAAACATATTTGTACTGTATCCATATAAGGAATCATCTTTGTGCCTTATAAGTAAACAAGTTCTTAATACATGAGTTCGCGTTGCAAGCTGAATGGGGGGACGAGTGAACTCGCTCGGTGGTAGCCGACAACCTCGCCATTTAAGATTTAAATATTCCATAAAAAATTATTGAATTGGGGACACATTAGTGCAACCTCGTGCTCTTTATTTTGAATGCCGCAAGTTCACTCGTACTTGATGTTTATGTTAATGAAATTCGCAAATTTAACGAGCGTTGAGCGGAGACAGTGAGATCATCCCTCGATATGTTAAGAAAAACAAATGTGAGAAGTGTGAGTTGTGTCGGGAGCGCATTCCTGTAGATAGAGGTGGCAGCGGCAGGCGCAGGAGAGGTGACGGCGCGCCGCCCGCTCTCGCCCCGGCGCCCATGCGCCCACGCACGCACCAGAATAGCCTCACTATCTCGCTCGCGGAGGAAAAGCGCTATGCACAAATAAAGTTACGCATCAGGAAACCAAAGACACTCGCTTGCCGAACGTCGCTCGAGCCGCTTCGCCGGCAACATAACGATGAACTTCGATACATGAGTAATGATGATTTTCAGGCACAGGAGCATTCGCTTAGCAATTCCATGTTATAATACGATTAGTGTGTAGTAGTGTGAGTGGTGTGGTGCAACGGTGTGAGTGGACAAGTAAAAGGCTCCTACCTTGTTGTTGTGTGAGCATCTGCCGGGTGTAGTGGTGCTCGGTGCGCTGGACGCGCTCCTGCTGCTGCACGATCTGCTCATGCCTCTCGGAGTGCTGCTGCACCCGCTGCTCGGACCGCTGCTCGGACCGCTGCTCGGACCGCTGCTCGGACCGCTGCTCCGACCACCTCGACTGCTTCTCCATCACGCCGCCACCGCAGCACAACGCACAAAAAAACTCTCACTCGACGCTACTAGTCCTTATCGTACGATAAACGTCGCTTCGGCGCTCGCCCGATTCTAAATAAATACGCCACTGCGAAAAACTTATACTAGTCCACGGGTTCATTTAGCAGAAGTTAAGTCATTATAACCCAAGTCCAACAACCAAGACGTCGGTCGATTGCGAATAGTTAGCGGATAGTGCGATGCTGATGTCGCGCGCGCTGCGCCGGCGCTGCTCGCTCGGTGGCGGCGGGGGGCGGCGCGACCGAAATACGCGGTTATTTCGAGACGAGCGCACTCCCGCGTGCCCTCCTCCACGCGCCCCACTCCCGCGCAGCACGCCAGCAGCCGCTATTCGCGCCCTGTCGCCTCCCCGCGACCCGCAAATTTTGCATGCGCTATGCACAGGTTCCAGAAGCTGTTTGTGCATTCCTTTCCACCAAGAATAAACAATCGATATCTTTGTAATTAACTTTTCAATAACAGTAAATTAATTTCAGTGTAATGAAAGAGTAATCACTACTCCACAATCCAAACCTGGGTTATCGTACGAACCTGCTGGATAAACAAAGCATAAAACATCAGTGTAAGAAAAGTAAAACTGGAAATAAAACCTACTAGGTCTGTGTAGCACACATATCCCATACACCCAGTATATCGAAACCAGTAAAATAAAAAATAAAGCAATCCGAAATCTAGTGATAGTAGATATTCTTAAATCACTTTTTTACAAGAAACGTAGTCGTTGATATCCTTCTCATACGGGTTGTGTTTGGAAACTTGCGCCCAGCAATGGGATATTATTGGGTTGCCATAATGTTAATTAAGCAATTAGTGTTATCATTATCTAATGTCATACATATTGAAAATATGTGAAAAACGAAGTCTTCGAAACGAAATTACGAAATTATTTCATCTAAAACTTGAAATTACAACCGTAAATGAAATAAAACGTAAGTATAGACCCTGATAGCGTAAACTGTTACCGTTTTAATATACTGAACACTGGACTTGCTCAGATTTCGCGGAGAATATTTGGTATCTGTCATGACAGATACCAGACAGATCCCCAGCCATGGCTGGGGATCAATCTACCGCTACCATTCGGATGAATTCGATTTGTTTATGACGTTCTCCATCTTTGGACAGTTAGATACAATTAACGTTCAAATATGCAACTTTTGGACTATATATTGAGACATTGGGCCAAGACGACCTCAAAGAGTGAATCACATTCTTTAATTATGTTATATCGACCCTCGCCTGTCATACAATATTTGTATTTCAATCAAACCTCATTTCGAGATGGTTCAGGACCGTTCTTTATGACAATCTATGGAGGAGGCCTATGTTCAGCAGTGAACGGATAATGGCTGTGATGATGATAATATTCGATTTATAAAACCTATTAAATACTATGAGACCTAACTATAATTCAAGAAATTATACTTAGATGAGATTCATCGTGATTCACTTAAGCTGTGGTTTAAGTAAACATGAATAATTATTTATTATTTCTGACATGCTTACCCCCTGCCACGTTGGATTTAAATATCCACGGCAAAATGTAAACATGCCAAGTGTTGCGTTCACACCATCGGTGATCTACTTATATACTTATAAAAGGTGGGAAAGGATTGTTAGTAATGCGGACTATCAGTCTTATTGCTAGCAATATATTCTGCCAGGTCGACCTCCACGTGGTCCCACCTGGAAACCATCGTGCTGAATTTCAAGTATATTCATCACGGTGGGCTAATTGACCTGCTTTTTCATCCTCTCCTATCATCTTTCACTAGTGCCCCGCTCGCGTATACCAATAGCGTAGGCAGGGCTATCATTCCATATCCTTCTTTAACCCAAAAATATATAAAAAAGTGCATTGTCTATCAACACACAATCATGTCTACTAAGTCTAGAAAGCTGGAAGAACGATTTATTTTATATAGTAAACATCTGTTAAAGTTTATAAAAATGTCAACTTGAAGGGGAAACACGTGCAAAGCCGCGAGCAACAGCTAGTAATCGATAAATACTCCTGACTACCTCTTCACAGCTTACAGTCATGATTATACTTATTTATTTTTATATTTCAGAAAATTCCGCCATTTTATTTATAAAAATTTAAATAAAAAATAAGAAACAAAATTTATAAGGAAACAATGATGTCCATGTCTCTATATTTGAAAAACGAAACTTGGTAAAATATTATACAATCCGAATTGTGAGACCAATTTACTTTAAAACCCTACCGTTTGCATATTTCTGAATTTTATACATTGTAATTAAACACATCGCATCTTAAATAAAGTCAAAACGTATTAACGTTACTTTCAAATTTAAGCTTTAGAAAGGTTTTACACTCATAAACCCATTTACGTATTCGTAATACATTATTTCGTGCATACATAATTACCATATCTTCTTATATTTATACCACGCCTTCTTACTTATTATCAATAAACTCGAAAATTGTTCCTTGAAATGAAGAAATGAAAACCGTTTGTGGTTGTCACATTATTTCATTATTAGTGTGTAGAGTCGTGAGAGTATATAGATAACTACATATCATCTTATCTAGATGCATTATGAAGTCATCAAAAAATTATTACCCAAGATTTAATTGAGTGGCATATGCCAAAAGAAACCGAAGTATATATGAGAAAAGAAACCGAGGAAGACCAACAAGAAGACGGGAAAATGTTTTGTCAAAGGCTGAAGACAAGCAGTAGGGAATCGTTAACAATGGCAAAATATATTCAAGGACAACCCAAGAATATAAGATGTTTTCCATGTCATAATTTTTATTATTTATACCTAAGTGCAATTTAAAAATAATCCATAATTCTATAATAAAGGCTGTTTTTATTTTATTTCTTTATGTATTATATATACATAAAGAAATAAAATAAAAACAGCCTTTATTTATTATGGAAATCAAATATTATAATAGGCATAACTGTAATTGTTATCATCATATTATTTGATCATTTTAACCTTACCAAATGACGAACTTTAAAACTTTTAAAAATATCGTAACAGATACTAGTATGTATACTTTTGTCTTTTAGCCTCAACCATAATAATAAATAACTGAAGGGAAGGAGATATTTAGTAACGGTCTCTTTACCGCAATTACTATTAGTAACGGTCGCATAAGCCCTGACACTTCTCTCGCTCGAAATCTTAACTGGAAATTTCAAATTAATTTTCAGTGAATTTGTCACGACAGGCTAGCTGGTTGGTACCCTGCCAGCGTAAACAACACAGGCGGGGTAACTATTCCATTTTCGTGAATTAAAAAATTAAATGTCAAGCCTCTAAACAACAATATGCAATGACGTTTAATCGCAAATAAATATTTATCGACATGTAAATTAAGAGCTATATTCCTAAGAGCAAAGTAGAAAAACTAATATGAAGCACTCCTCATAAATAACTTCGCGACATCCAGTACTTACAAAAGTAAATTCACTGCAATTGATTCATCTGACAATGTTGGTGTAAGCGAGCAAAATTATTCTTATAACTAATCTCGAGATCAGTCACGCGGTGACGCATATTTGCGAGTTATTTTCGGATGAAATGCATGAGCCAGCGAACTGGTGGTGGGGAATGATGCATGGATGCAAGGAAAGGGGTAGGATATTAGTGTCTCGTCGAGCCGTTGACGAGCTGCTATGTATAATCTTCCAGCAATTACACCGATACACGCGTAAGCACTGACACTTATGGCCTGTTTGCAGTACTAAAATACTGCGGGTGTTTCAGTAATGTAAACCGATCTACGGGCCTACTATTATAGTATATACTTTATACTGCCACTACACCCTCATGATTATTATCATCATACTAGCCATTTACTGTCCACTGCTGAACTTTTCTGCTGAATAGCAGTGGAGTGGTGACCTCCAGCCTGGGGGCTTTGCCAGTAATTGATGTTTGAAAAGACGCTGCTGTCCATCATTACCATTAAGTTTCCTTAGACTCCTCTTACACTTACGGAAAATGAAGTGACCCGTTCCTTGACGAGATCACATGGCAACATACCCTCATTGGGTGTATGAATACATCAACAAATAATATACTACACAGCCCAGAAAACTCAAACACGGACACTATATTTTAAAAAGTGTCATTTTTAAATTAGTACAATCATTTGCTTCTTGCAACATGCCTATACTACCCCACTGAGGGTGAAAAAGAGATTGTTAGTATTGCGGACTAGTAGTCTCATTGCTAGCAATATACCCCGTCAGGTCCCCCTGGAAACCATCGTGCTGAATTCCATATGTACTCATCACGATGGGCTAACTGACTTATCTTTTCATTTTCGTATATCATCCCTCAATAGTGCTCCGCCCGCATACGCTAGTATACCGTTAGTGCAAATGGGGTTACCATTATACAATATTATTATCCAGGGGGGAGGGGATTGTTAGTAATGTAGACTATCAGTTCCATTGCTAGCAATATACGCTAACAGGTCGACCTCCTCGTAGACCCCCTGGAAACCATCGTGCTGAATTCCTCGTGTATTCATCACGATGGGCTAACTGACCTGTCTTCTATCTATCCTCACTTATCATCCCTCACTGGTGCCCCGCCAGCGTATACCGATAGCGCAGGCGGGGTTACTATTTCATTATCATCCTTTAAAAAAAGAACTATCCCGCAGAGGTCGAATAACGTAAAAAGTATACAAGTTAGTAAATAATTAATATCATACTATGCTAATTCCCTTATAAAAAGTAAAAAAAAAAACATACATTGTAATATTAGTGAAACATTGGAAGCGCATGTTTTAGTTAGTAATGTAAACCAGTGCCTATGTTTACAACACACTCGAACTTCCCGACAAACGCCGACGGTATGCTTACAGTAAACAGTAAACCATAATGTTTTCAATTGTACCGATTTATTTCAATTTACAAATATAGAAATAAGTTTGAACTTGGTTTAAATCATAACAAGCATAATAAAAAGCCACCAATATTTTTCACTATATCACGTACAGTAATGATAATTCGTGTAAAGAACTATAACAATAAATAATTTTTATCTTCATATCAGCCGTTAACTGTCCACTGCTCAACATAGGCCTCACCCATAAGGGAGGTTTTGCGAACATATGTATTATTTATTTATTTATTTATTTAACACTTTATTGCACCAACATAACATGATTTGTTAAAACAATTTTCAATACGTATAGTGTAGTACAAAAGGCGGTCTTATTGCTAA